TCGCAGCCACTGTTAGCTCTTGCGTCAGTTTGAGTGCAGGTGATCATTCAGTACCAAGATGAGAGCAGCATTGCCCTCTATTTTCTGATAGACCCTCTCACAGAAATGACCCCATTACTTCTCTTTACTCTTACATTATAAATCAACTGTGCCATCTGCAGCAATAGGTGACCACATGAATGTTTGCCATGAATGCTGTAAAATTACCACAGAATGAAATAATATCTAACACATTTATTGTATTTTACCTCACACGTCAATGTATCAGGCATAAACAGCATGTGCACATTTTCTCTTTCTTTCCAGTGTTAGTTGTTGGAAGGCAACTTGGCTGCTAACTTGAAACAGCTTGACTCGTGGCCACACACTTCTTGGCTGTGTTTCATCTCTGTTTATTAATTTTAAAGTTAAGCCGCTTGTCATGCCTTAATTCCTTATGCAGAGATCTGAGCTGTTTCATGAAGGAAGGCATCTTGTTTCTGGCTCACAGAATAATGTAGCAAAAACTAAATCTCAGGCTGCAATACTGAAGGCATTTCCTTTAAGCACATTTCCTTTTACAGTGTCCACATGTAATTCTCTCCATTCACAAAGTCACAAAGGCACCGACAGGCAACCTTGGATTCTTCTACTTTAAAAACAGAACATTTTTATTTAAATAAATGCTTTCTCTCCTGATAACAAAAATAAGATTCTGTAAAGGAATGTACTTTTATACTGGCAAGAATCACAACTTCATCAAGTATGCTGAATTGCTACATTTTCAACAATAAGAGATAGAGAAGAGCTTGTTTCACCATTGTGGAGCCAGCACAGCCACACACCGGTAGCTGGGCTCCCCTTGTAGTGAGAGAGTAGCAAACCGATTGACCACATCCTGGATGGGCCTGAACCATTCGCAGCACAGTAGGCAAGAACCAGAGTGTTGAGTCGGATTCGAGCGGCGACAGGTAGCCAGTGTGGGTGCGGAGGGGCAGTGTCGCGTGGGAGAACCTGGGTAGGATGAGAACCAGCCGGGCTGCTGCTCTTGATGCTTGTTACCTGCAACACATTCAGTGTGACGCTCAGAGTGCAGCTGCTGAATCCGGACCACAACCTGAAGCTGTAAGACTTCAGTACAACTGAGAAAGTGACACAGTTGTTTTTAACATTTTTATTTCATTTATTTTTTATTGTCAAGTATAAGGCTATTATGCACACTTTAAAGGAAAAAACGCAACATGAATGTTCTATTCAAGAGGTAATAATTCAAAATCTGATTTCTTGTCGTTTCTTTTTATGTCTAAATGAGGCTAATATTGAAAAAGTCCATGGGGGAGTCGAGGTTTTTCAGTTAGTTAAGACAGGAAAGTTACAGCTAAAACGTTGCTGAAATTACTTCAGAACAAAGTGTTGGTGAATTTGATGGACATGGACAAACCAAGGTGGTAAATGTTCATGGGAGTTTTCTTGTATTCTCCTAAAGAAATCATAGTTTCTTTCTACTTTGTTCAAACTACAGTGGTTTCAGCATGAGAGCTTACATTGAGAGCAGAGGCCTCCCTGTAAACTTGTCCTCTTTACTCGATGTGTTGTGCCACGTCTGTAATGCATTGTATACCACACTGACAATATTGATTGTCATTGTCATTGAATATTTTGAGTTGCTTCTTCAGCCAGTAATATACCCTTTGTATTTTAAAATATATCAGTGTATCTCAGACTCAATTCTTCTTGAAATTATTTCCAAATTCGGGAATAAATGTAGTAAAATGGCTGGCAGAATGTCTACAAGTAAACAAGCGTGTAATGTATCAATCCAACCTCAAACTGTCAAGCTGCTGCTAAGCACTTTAGAGTAATACTCCTTATCGGATGAAAGTCTGATGTTTATGGATTTCAGTCTTTCAGGATAAAGAGCTTTTCCTGGCATCCCGAAAAAATGACACCCTATTAAAAATCTTTATCCAGGAAAATAAATACTTCAAATAAAAAAGATTTCTACTAGTTTTCAATTTAGGAGTAAATGCTTCCGCTTTAACTTTTTAATGTGTTTTTTTTATATTGAAAACACACCACAAGGTCACATACAAACTTTGTTGTAGGTTTGACTTAATGTTTTTGTACATAATTCAATAATTCTGTGTACATTTATTACAAATGCTCCATTATTTGCTGTGTCTTAAATACCAGGGCTTTATGTGATGTAAAAATGTAAACACCGATATGAAAGCTTCAGGCACTGCAGTCTTGTGATGAAAAAGAGTGAAGTGTGGCTTAACGAATGGATTAGTATTCACTTTGTCTCCTGGAATATGTGAATGCTTCAGGGGAGCTGGAGAGGTGTTGTTTACCACCTCTGAATCTGTGGCTTCAGCAGCCAAATTAACTGAGATAAACTTTCAGAAGGTGAGATACAAAACAGTAGCCTGTGGCGGTGAGAAAATATTGATCTAGTCTACAAGTTTCAAATCCCACATCCTCGGGTTCACGAAAAAAGCAAAGTGTTTTAATAAGAGTTACTTTTGCCACAAGGTTCTCTTTCTCCCCCTCTGTCTTTCTCTTTGTCTCTCTGTGCTTTGACTCGCTGCCAGCCGCCGTTGTCTGCAGTCTCAGCTCGAAGTCAAGAACAAAGTAACCGACACGAGAGTCATTTGGGTTGTGACACGCATAGACGACTTCCAGCGTGGAGCATGGGTTTTTGGAAATTCGCACATTTTTGTGTTTTTGGCTCAGTGCTCCAGCACACTGGATTTGAGACGAAACGGTGACTGTGAGGTTAAAGTGTCGACTCGCAGCTTTAACTTGAGGGTGTTTTCAAACAGTGTAGGAAAAGCAGCCTTACTGTATCATTGTCCATAGTCATTGTTTCATTTAAAGTCCAAAGTGTTGGATTAGACAGCCAAAACAATAAAATAAAAATAAGCCTAAATACTCATTGTCAGTATCTGAACATGGACTGGTTTGTTTGTTGGTAGACTATCATCTTTAATGGGCACTCCAACACTTATATATAATACTTCATTAATAAACTGTGGGCATGGAGTTTTAAAGACATGGACATTTCCTTGGCATAGACTAATGAAAAGGCTGCATTATGGGGAAAAAAAGGAGACTAAAAGTCTGGATATCTTTGCCTTTGCTTCAAAGATTTTGACCTTTTTTTTTTTTTAATCTGTCTTTAGCAACCCCTTTAATTAGTAACAAACAACAGCTTTTTGTGTACAAGCCTTAAAATGACCTGAACCGCTTTTTATTTGGATTAGGCTGGTCCCTTCTGAAAGGCTCTTTGGCAGTTTGCTATCTGAGAGTCACAATTGTTCTAAGTGGTACTGAATCCAATTTACAAAGGCACAAACATGGTAGAAATTTAGTTTATTTTTTGATATTTTGTTGTAGTGGACTTTACAGTGATATGATAGAATCCTGATTCTTTGTCAAAGTTTAGTGAGGATTCAGTTGTACACCATTAAAATATTAAACCGCCTTTTTCCAGCCACCTAATGTAAATGCATCTAAAGTCAGCCAAAATCCTTGCAGATACACCATGTGTGGGCTGTGGGAAACTGACTGAAGGCTGGTTACAACTTCTGTATTCAGCTCACTTACACTGTATATTTTGCCACACAGGACAGAGGAGACAGTGGAGAGCTCTGCCAGACTACACCTCTCGGCCGTCTCTGTGTGCTTACACCTTTATATTAATGTCCACTCCCCCTTTTTAACTCACTGGCTACTGAGCACCCATATGAGAGCATTCTTAAGTAGGAAAGTTCATTCACTCTCGCTCTTCCATGGCTGATTACTCCTGGCAAGTTCTGACCTCCAGCTGTCAACAGTGATCGTACTGTGGACGTTCGTTTTGCCCAACCCCAGGATCACTTGAGGGCACAACTCTGTTCAGCTGTGCCCACTGGGAGCCTCTCTTTGCTGCACTGCTCTCATTTTCTTATTACTTTCATTTGAAAGCAGGCCCTGCTGCTTGTTCCCGACTGAGCTGAGAGCTCAATGTGTTTTAGAGCGCCGTATACTGACGGATCCGAGAGAAAGTGTTTTTAACTTTTAGCTGAAAATTCCAACTTTGCGTCCCACGTGAATTTGTTTAATGCTGCAAGCTATGAAATAAAAGGGGCCGAGTGGACACAGGGGCTGAAGCATCAGTATGGTAATGCTGACGCTTGCTACCTTGAGCTGCACTCGGGAACAATATAGCTGGAAAGTGTACACTACCTTCTGCACTTGTGGAACCAGAGCTGTTGACACTTGGCACATGGTAGAGAAGGTAGTTGCAGGGCCTGAGGCCAATTACAGAAGAAAGGAATGTGTTTTGTTCTGTAGTTTTGGGCCTATAAATTGAGTTTTGTCAAAAGATTTCTGTATTTTTAAGTTCTTAAACAGAAGCTGCAAAGCTTCTGATATCACAAATAAATCACCAAGTAAAGCCTTTTCCACCTGTTTTGGGGCGCTGTAGATCTCCTTTTTCTCATTTGTTTAAGTCTTTGAAACTTTTATTCCGTTAAAAGTTTGTACGTCTGAAATTGATTTGTTTTGGAGGAGATTTGGTGGAATCACGCTAATAATTGAGATCCTCCGCTGAGGATTGCGTGGAGCCAAGGCGTTGTGGATTAGGACTTATCTACGTGTTGGAAACTATCCAGCTGGCTCCGGAGGAATTCAGTGACCTTCGAGTGGTTTTGAAAGTAACCAGAGAAAAAGTTTTTAGGGAGTAAGTGTGCTCTTGTTTGGTACAGCCCTCTAGTTTTCTGGTCTCACACTTACAGTACTGTTAAACCCACCGTGTATGGATTTAGGGCAGGGCGGAGGTCAGGCCTCGTCTCAGCAGGCGTCTCACCTGAGAACACGTCCTTGAGCGAGCCAGTGAACACCCACCAGCTCCACTCTACACCTGACCCTGACCTCTGTCTCTATCTTAGAAAATAAGTGTATGAACCAAAATTGCTAACAGTGTTTTTCCCTTTGTTTTGTGTCGTGTGTCTGTGTGTGTGTTTTCACTGCCTTAGCAGAATCCCTGTTCAGCGGCCTGGGGCTGGGGGCTGTGGTGGGCCTCGGACTGGGAGCGCTTCTGCTGCTGCTCGTGCTGGTGGACGTCAGCTGCTTCTTCCTGCGTCACTGCGGCCTGCTGATGTGCATCACGCGCACGCTGTGTAGCAAGAAAACAGCCACCAGTGGCAAGGGCAAAGAAATAGAGGAGGGCAAGGCTGCCTACCTGTGAGTTTCTTTCTCTTATATATTGTTTTCAGTGTCAGGAACTTTAACTCCTTCAATCAAACGTTTTGATTTATATGGTGACAGTTGGCATCAGTGTCGGTCACCAGGTCATTCATGCTTGCAGAGGAAGCTTCTGCTGTGGGTGTATCTTAATGCTTGTGGGCTACATTGGGTCAATCTGTCAAGTACTGTTTCTGCCATTGTGCAGCAATGAATACAAATCTATACAAAGAATTTGCTCCACACTGTTCTATCAGCAGCTTACCTTCACATTTAAGTCGAAAAAGTTCTTCAAGGATTTTATTAGTCTTGAAAATAACGTCACAAATTGTCAGTTTTACTTTCTTTGTGCTCTCAAGTCTCACCTCTCAAGTAGATATGAATGGCGCAGTGACACTCTTCATGTCAAGCGCAGCCTAGAATCCACTTAGTTCCCTCGAGTGAGAAAAGAATGACAAAAGGAGACTTGTTTTTACTATTTACTGTAGGTACACCTACAACAGCCGCCCAACCACCCTTTCAGCCACAGTATGTCTTTGATTATGTCTTCTTCACTAACATCAGTGCGTTTCATACAGTGTGCAGTGAGTTCCCTTTTGAAGTATCTCTTTTGCATGCATTGTGCGTCTGTCTACATTCATGACATGCATGTTTGAAATCTCACGTGGTCACATGTTTGTGTGAACCTCTGTATTTATGTAAATTCTGCATGCAAATAGTCTCATACCACTGCATGTATGTCGAGTAAACACATACTTTGCCCCTTTTTTTCCCCTCTCATCAGACGGCATGCAATTTAAAAGCCTCCCCCCATGAAATTCATAGTACAATCGATTTTCAGATTTAGTCCCAGTACTATTTTATGCGGGGTGCTAGCCAAAACGAGGTTTTGTGAGACGTCACCCACAGAGTGTGATTCATTAGCCTCAGCGGTGCCATTTTTGTGTTGCAACTGTCAGTGTGCCAGCCCAGTGTCTGGGATGCAGAGAGAGAGAGAGGGCACGGAGAAAAAGAGGGGGAGGTGGGTGACTTTTGCTGAGTCACTAAGCTCACAGTGCTGGAGGGCTGAGTGACTGCCTGCCCAGACAGCATGCAGGATGTGCCTCAGCTTTATGTTGGAGCAGGCACTGTAGCAGCAACTCACACAGGCATTTACAGGCTGTGTGCAGCTATATGTTGCTACTACAACTTCTTCATGGATATATTAGAGTTGATAATTTAGTACAGTCACGTCACAAATACAAAGCAGAGTCGCAGACACACAGCACGGGGCATAAATTGCAGTAAAATGGTAAAATGGCCGTGACAGGCAGCGGTGGTGTGGCTCGATATTTCGTTTACAATCTGCGTCATCTTATCAGATTTTGGTCCATCGTTCATATCATATGACTTTTCTCTTGCAGCTTTGTTGCCGAAATACACTGTAAAATGGAGTTCATGGGACATTTTATTGACCAATTTAAAGGAATACTCCAGGAATTTAGTATTGCACTTCCATGAACTTATAAAGGGCAGAGGCTATCCAACCTTTTATTTCTACCAAGATCCAAGGACTGTTTTTTTTGTCCCACATGTGCCCACATATTTTAAATCCCATACCCACAGTTTGTAACTCAGGCTTTCTGTTAGACATTTGTAGTGTTCTGGCCCATGCATGATAAACCTGTTAACCTGAGGGTTATCGATTCTGGGACCGCTGCCATCGTCCCGATGATGTAAGAAACACAAGCAGTGAAACCCTCGCGAAGGTTTTGAGCAAACCTGTTCGTTAACCAAATCATTTGGGTTAAATTATTTTCCAAACTTTCAGATATAAACATCTATCACCAACTTCCTGGTTCACTGTATGTGTACGTGCAACTTTGGTGAGAACAGTGGCATCATAACCATTCAAAATGATAGCTAAAACTGACCCAAGTTGTAAAATTACTTTACTTACAACAAATACTATCTAAAGCTGTGACTCCCAAACTGGCAACCCGCCAAAGGGTTCACAAGATAAAACGGAGCGGTCGCGAGATGATGCTACACAAATGTAGGCACTTTCCTGTAATGTTGGGCTCATTTTTATATGAAATACTGTATCGTTTTACATGTTAAGGCCTTGAGCAGTTATTCAGATGGCACAAGCTGAGCAGTCTGCAGTGACAACTTATAGAAGCAAGCAGGTTGTTATTAGCAATTATCGACAGGGCGTCCAACAGTAGTTCAGCTCAAAGCGGTGTGCCTCATCGCACTGCGAGGCGCTGTGTCATTCATATTAGGATATTCTAATATAAAACAATGCAGTTAAACAGATTTTGACGCTGATGCTCGCTGGCGTTGTCAGAGTTAATAACCAAACTGTAAATGTCAACATAGCATTTATTCCACGCCCAGATTACTTGTACTCCAGGTGCTGCTGCTGCAGTTGTATAAAGTATAAAAATAGAGATATCTACAAATATGTGGATATCTATATTTCTTAACTTATTGTCACAAGAAGAAGAATTGTGATAGGCAGATCAGCAGCTAAACCTTTCTGTTAGTGTGTTACAACCGGTGTCCTATGGTCTCCAGATTCTCTGCAGAGAAATTGGTTTCATAAGTGACAGCACCGATGGCCATAACAGCAAAAAGTCTGGTTGTATAAAAATAGAATTTTTCTTTCAGTTAGTGTGGAGAGAATGAAGTAATGCAGTCTATACAATGACTCATACCACTGAGCTGAAGGGAACATAATGAGATAACGCTTGAGATAATACAAAGCACAGACACTCCTACTGAGTTTGCAAGATGTCAGTACTGCGAGTCTGAATGTGCTGAGGGGTAATAAGTTGTAAAGACCAGCAAACCCTGCACAGAAATATCAATGATATCGATAAGAGTGTACACAGTGATGAATAGCAGGAGGGTAATAAGTGGCACAGATCAGACGGTGTTTGTGTTGTGTTTGTGTGTGTGTGTATGTGTGTGTGTGTGTGGAAGTTTTTGATGCAAGGTTCTGTCGAGTGAACAGGGTCACAGGCGGTCTTCGCTTCCCGTTTTCTCACCTCGATGTGGTGCTGAAGCTTACAAGGGAGCGGCTGGCAGCCATGTGCCCTCTCAGCAGCGCAGTTTTAACTCTAAGGCAGAGCTGGACCGATGGAGGATGGAGGATGGGAAGGTGTCTTTCCATTATGAATCTGTCGAATTGTGCCAAGATCAGTGGGAGAGCCGCGCGCTCCGTATACCTTCCTCAGGAAAAGTTGAAAGAGTGTTTGCAGTGGCCCCATTGACTTCAAAAGTCTTTTCTTTTGAGTGTAAGTTCTTGACTGTGTGCTGTGATGTCTGTGGGCCAAATGGACAGATGGAAAAAGAGTGGTACACCTTGAGTCTGGACCGGTGAATGGAGCTGTAATCTGTGCAGCACAGATATTGCACTAGCATAAAGTATAATAAAGGAAAATTACTATGAATCTTTTTTACATTTTTACATCAGGGAATTTGGAATTAATTGGATTGTGACTCTGTGACTTTCTCCAGGTGTTTTTCTTGCTATTCAGTGCTGGCGATAGTCACAGTGGAAAATCCAGTCGCTTCCTGTCAGTCAGTGATCCAGAAATAGATTTGTGAACCTGTCTGGCCCTTCAGTAGCCTCCCAGCAAACACCTGAGGGACAGCGTCAGACAGAAGTTCAGTCTTGCCATAAACACAGAACTTAATTGGCTATTGTTAGAATAGTTTTATGCTGATATTAGCTCAGCTCACATTGAATAAAGTCTAACTTTTCTTTTTGCTGCAAATTGTATTTTTATTTTTATCCAGTTGCCTCATCAACACCCAAACATTCACACAGTGTCACAACACGATACAGTGTCAGGGCGCAGTGACAGTTGATCCGCTCAGGTGATGCGGGAGAGGTTCATGCTGACGTCAGTGAACAGTTTGCTGTTTACTCAGACTTCAGGGGTTAGAAGATAGGCTCTGTGACAGATTAGACGCGGAGCAGACCAAACTTTTGAGTATCGTCACACTCTGTTGACTCACGGCAGGAAAATATTAAACAGAATGCCAAGTTATAGTTGAGGCTCCAGCATCCTGCAGCGATACAAAGATAAAAATAAACTATGTCAGATGCACAAAAATCCATACTCATAGCAATTTGATAATTTTATTTATACTTTTTTTTTGTCATTTTATGCACCGCTGTCCAACAATGTCTGAAAGAAATATTTCAAAAGAGAGAAAGAAACTCAATTTTCTCAAACACAGCTGCCTTAGGTAAAGCAAGCTGTAGCCTCCAGGGTTCATCAGTCCGCTGTCTGAGTATACTTCACTTCCATTAGTGTCACAATCAGGAATCTTGAACTTTTTTGCCCTTTTTTTTTCAGTTTTATGTCTTATTCTGCAGCGATAGCGTTAACTTGCTAGCTAATATAAACTTAACAGCATAAGGGGGTGCTCCCAAATGATCAATGTTGTAAAGGGACACATGTCTTCAGTCACACATACTCAAAACTATCTTAGCTTGTTTAAGAAATGTTTCTAAGCAACACTGTAGATTGCTGCCATGGAAACCCCTCCTAGCAGCCTTGAAGCTTAATATACTGTTTATTCCAGAAATGTCCAACAAAGGTTTTTTTCTTCCTTTGAAAACCTGTCAAATGGGTTCAGTAGCTGCAATGTTATCATATTTTGAATTCTCCTCACACAAAAAGTGAGGAGAATTCAAACTTTAAAAAAAGAACTTGAAATAATTACAAAAGGGCATTTCAAAGTTTGCAAAGTGTCATAAATATTAATTAATTCAGCTGATAAATACAGTTATTACAAGTTTATAAGCTGCAAGAACAGAAATCCTTTCACAAAGCTCTTGTTTAAATGATTATCTTTTAATTGATTTGTGGACTGACACGTTTAGATTTTTGTATTACTTCCTTTTATGCGGAGTAGTAAAGTAAAATTTGTGGAAATGTGTCATTTTTACATGTTTACATTAAAAAGGGATGGGTCCGATGCGGTGCTCATGTAGGCTACTC